CTCTATACATTGTATACATTTGTATACGAGAAAGTAAAAACTGGACTACATAAGTGGCAGAATCAAGGGTACAGTGGCTATCAAGAAGGTTTCAGTGATGGAAATGAATACAACTATGGTGGGATATTTGTTTCATTTATGGGGGAAATGCTTTTAATAGAATAATTTTCAATGCATTAAATCTTAGAGGCTTTGGTAAGAGTTAGGGCTTGAGTAAGTCTAAGAAAATAATAGGATTGATTACAATGAGCAAGTGATGAGAACTTTTCACATGAAATGTTGGCCTTTTTGTTTTTACATCAGACATTTCACTGATTCATGAAATGTTGGCCTTTTTGTTTTTACATCAGACATTTCACTGATTCATGAAATGTTGGCCTTTTGGTTTTTTGGCAAAAAATCTAAATCAAGATTTTGGCAATTAGTCTATATGTCTGTAAACATGATAGTTTCATAACCATTTCAGTTATGATGAAGAATTTTAGGTGGGTATTAATGTGTAGCTCTGTATCAACTTTTGAATGATTTCTGATAACCAGAAGTGATACTTTACTTTCTTCAGGGTTCTTGCGGCCTCCTAAAATTCCAGGAGGAACTTTTGAGCATGAACCCTGTATTTCTGGTTTCTAAAACACCAATAATTTAAGAACCGTTTCAGTTATGTGGACCAAATTTTATAAGTAGGTGTAAGTACTTATTCTCTAGAATCTGTCCAATTTCTCAAAAAATAAAAAAAGGAAAGCAATGTTTCATTTATACACATGTGTAATTTTTTTCTACTCAATTTGTAAAGCATGGTTGGACTGCCATCCCCATTAATGCTATTTAAGAATATGTGAGAAAGGAGAGATCACTATCACTTTATTTACTATATTAGAGGAAATAAACAACATGCTTATTTCCTCTAAACTGTAAGAGGATATAAGTAGTGTTTATTTCCTCAACAGCATATGAGAGGATATAACTGTGTCTAGTATATTTCCTCTACTGTTGAACACATAAGCACTACCAAATACAGAAATAAAACATAATTTTGTTTCAGTAAAAAGGCAATCTAAATACAATATTCAAACAAAAAGTATATTCAGTCACAAGAATAACTATACACAATTTAATTTGACAATTAAATGAGAGCTTTAAAGATTGAAATAAAACAAGTACCAAATGTTAAAAAGATTGAAATAAAACAAGTACCAAATGTTAAAAAGATTGAAATAAAACAAGTACCAAATGTTAAAAAGATTGAAATAAAACAAGTACCAAATGTTGCGCCAGATCTTGGGTGATGTTGGCAACCTGGGCATCTAAAATTTCTTTCAATTCTTGCCTCAAACTGGCTGCCTGAACAATAAAAATACCAGTCAAAGTATCCAGTTCAAATCAGGGTAAGGGTAAAAATAACTGCCAAAGGTCAAAGTATCAAAGTTCAAATCAGGGTAAGGGTAAAAATAACTGACAAGTTCAAAAAGTGTTAGGATCAAAAGGGACTGATAAGGGTCAGGATTTTAAAAAAATGTCTTTAATGAAAACATGAAACGTGTATACCAAAATATTAAACATAATTTTAATGAAAACATGAAACGTGTATACCAAAATATTAAACATAATTTTAATGAAAACATGAAACGTGTATAACAAAATATTAAACATAATTTTAATGAAAACATGAAACGTGTATACCAAAATATGATATTAAACACAATTCAGAAGATACTAACCACTCTATCAGCACACAATTTTGGTATATGTATATGGAAATGTATAATATATATGCTTACATATATACACAGGGGTATGAAAATGTGTGATAGAGGGTTTTGATGTTAAGTCAATTTTAATGATTCTATCAGATTCTCCAAAAAAACAACACATCTGTTCCCCAGTAACCCACACATCTCCACTCCCCAGTAACCAACACATCTCCCACTCCCCAGTAACCAATACATCTCCCACTCCCCAGTAACTAACACATCTCCCACTCCCCAGTAACCCACACATCTCCACTCCCCAGTACCCAGCACATCTCCCACTCCCCAGTAACCAACACATCTCCCACTCCCCAGTAACCCACACATCTCCCACTCCCCAGTAACCCACACATCTCCCACTCCCCAGTAACCCACACATCTCCCACTCCCCAGTAACCCACACATCTCCCACTCCCCAGTAACCCACACATCTTCACTCCCCAGTAACCCACACATCTCCCACTCCCCAGTAACCCACACATCTCCCACTCCCCAGTAACCCACACATCTCCACTCCCCAGTAACCAACACATCTCCCACTCCCCAGTAACCCAATACATCTCCCACTCCCCAGTAACCAAGACATCTCCCACTCCCCAGTAACCCACACATCTCCCACTCCCCAGTAACCCACACATCTCCCACTCCCCAGTAACCAACACATCTCCCACTCCCCAGTAACCCACACATCTCCCACTCCCCAGTAACCAACACATCTCCCACTCCCCAGTAACCAGCACATCTCCACTCCCCAGTAACCCACACATCTCCCACTCCCCAGTAACCCACACATCTCCCACTCCCCAGTAACCCACACATCTCCACTCCCCAGTAACCCACACATCTCCCACTCCCCAGTAACCCACACATCTCCCACTCCCCAGTAACCCACACATCTCCCACTCCCCAGTAACCCACACATCTCCCACTCCCCAGTAACCAACACATCTCCCACTCCCCAGTAACCCAATACATCTCCCACTCCCCAGTAACAAACACATCTCCCACTCCCCAGTAACCCAATACATCTCCCACTCCCCAGTAACCAGCACATCTCCCACTCCCCAGTAACCAACACATCTCCCACTCCCCAGTAACCCACACATCTCCCACTCCCCAGTAACCAGCACATCTCCCACTCCCCAGTAACCAACACATCTCCCACTCCCCAGTAACCCACACATGTCCCACTCCCCAGTAACCAACACATCTCCCACTCCCCAGTAACTAACACATCTCCCACCCCCCAGTAACTAACACATCTGCCACTCCCCAGTAACCAACACAACTCCCACTCCCCAGTAACCCACACATCTCCCACTCCCCAGTAACCCACACATCTCCCACTCCCCAGTAACCCACACATCTCCACTCCCCAGTAACCCACACATCTCCCACTCCCCAGTAACCCACACATCTCCCACTCCCCAGTAACCCACACATCTCCACTCCCCAGTAACCAACACATCTCCCACTCCCCAGTAACCAACACATCTCCCACTCCCCAGTAACCCACACATCTCCCACTCCCCAGTAACCCACACATCTCCCACTCCCCAGTAACCCACACATCTCCCACTCCCCAGTAACCCACACATCTCCCACTCCCCAGTAACCCACACATCTCCCACTCCCCAGTAACCCACACAACTCCCACTCCCCAGTAACCAACACATCTCCCACTCCCCAGTAACCCACACATCTCCCACTCCCCAGTAACCCACACATCTCCCACTCCCCAGTAACCAACACATCTCCCACTCCCCAGTAACCCACACATCTCCCACTCCCCAGTAACCCACACATCTCCCACTCCCCAGTAACCAACACATCTCCCACTCCCCAGTAACCCACACATCTCCCACTCCCCAGTAACCCACACATCTCCCACTCCCCAGTAACCCACACATCTCCCACTTCCCAGTAACCCACACATCTCCCACTCCCCAGTAACCCACACATCTCCCACTCCCCAGTAACCAACACATCTCCCACTCCCCAGTAACCCACACATCTCCCACTCCCCAGTAACCCACACATCTCCCAATCCCCAGTAACCCAAGACATCTCCCACTCCCCAGTAACCAACACATTTCACACTCCCCAGTAACCAACACATTTCACGAAGGAATCAATTACCTCATCAGCCACTGAGTTCACTGGATTAGTTGGATTACTGGATTTAGCCTGTGGATTGGATTCAAATTGATAGTTTTTGTATGTAGGTATAGATGTATAGATATGTATGTATAGATCAAGAGGGAGGGATACCAGACATTAAGAGGGAGACCCAACAAGATGGAGGGAGGGAGACCCAACAAGATGGAGGGAGGGAGACCCAACAAGATGGAGGGAGGGAGACCCAACAAGATGGAGGGAGGGAGACCCAACAAGATGGAGGGAGGGAGACCCAACAAGATGGAGGGAGACCCAACAAGATGGAGGGAGGGAGACCCAACAAGATGGAGGGAGGGAGACCCAACAAGATGGAGGGAGACCCAACAAGATGGAGGGAGGGAGACCCAACAAGATGGAGGGAGGGAGAACCAACAAGATGGAGGGAGACCCAACAAGATGGAGGGAGGGAGACCCAACAAGATGGAGGGAGGGAGAGCCAACAAGATGGAGGAAGGGAGACCCAACAAGATGGAGGGAGACCCAACAAGATGGAGGGAGACCCAACAAGATGGAGGGAGGGAGAGCCAACAAGATGGAGGGAGACCCAACAAGATGGAGGGAGACCCAACAAGATGGAGGGAGGGAGACCCAACAAGATGGAGGGAGACCCAACAAGATGGAGGGAGGGAGACCCAACAAGATGGAGGGAGGGAGACCCAACAAGATGGAGGGAGGGAGACCCAACAAGATGGAGGGAGGGAGAGCCAACAAGATGGAGGAAGGGAGACCCAACAAGATGGAGGGAGACCCAACAAGATGGAGGGAGGGAGACCCAACAAGATGGAGGGAGACCCAACAAGATGGAGGGAGACCCAACAAGATGGAGGGAGGGAGACCCAACAAGATGGAGGGAGACCCAACAAGATGGAGGGAGGGAGACCCAACAAGATGGAGGGAGGGAGACCCAACAAGATGGAGGGAGGGAGACCCAACAAGATGGAGGGAGGGAGACCCAACAAGATGGAGGGAGGGAGACCCAACAAGATGGAGTGAGGGAGACCCAACAAGATGGAGGGAGGGAGACCCAACAAGATGGAGGGAGGGAGACCCAACAAGATGGAGGGAGGGAGACCCAACAAGATGGAGGGAGGGAGACCCAACAAGATGGAGGGAGGGAGACCCAACAAGATGGAGGGAGGGAGACCCAACAAGATGGAGGGAGGGAGACCCAACAAGATGGAGGGAGGGAGACCCAACAAGATGGAGGGAGGGAGACCCAACAAGATGGAGGGAGGGAGACCCAACAAGATGGAGGGAGGGAGACCCAACAAGATGGAGGGAGGGAGACCCAACAAGATGGAGGGAGGGAGACCCAACAAGATGGAGGGAGGGAGACCCAACAAGATGGAGGGAGGGAGACCCAACAAGATGGAGGGAGGGAGAGCCAACAAGATGGAGGAAGGGAGACCCAACAAGATGGAGGGAGACCCAACAAGATGGAGGGAGGGAGACCCAACAAGATGGAGGGAGACCCAACAAGATGGAGGGAGACCCAACAAGATGGAGGGAGGGAGACCCAACAAGATGGAGGGAGACCCAACAAGATGGAGGGAGGGAGACCCAACAAGATGGAGGGAGGGAGACCCAACAAGATGGAGGGAGGGAGACCCAACAAGATGGAGGGAGGGAGACCCAACAAGATGGAGGGAGGGAGACCCAACAAGATGGAGTGAGGGAGACCCAACAAGATGGAGGGAGGGAGACCCAACAAGATGGAGGGAGGGAGACCCAACAAGATGGAGGGAGGGAGACCCAACAAGATGGAGGGAGGGAGACCCAACAAGATGGAGGGAGGGAGACCCAACAAGATGGAGGGAGGGAGACCCAACAAGATGGAGGGAGGGAGACCCAACAAGATGGAGGGAGGGAGACCCAACAAGATGGAGGGAGGGAGACCCAACAAGATGGAGGGAGGGAGACCCAACAAGATGGAGGGAGGGAGACCCAACAAGATGGAGGGAGGGAGACCCAACAAGATGGAGGGAGGGAGACCCAACAAGATGGAGGGAGGGAGACCCAACAAGATGGAGGGAGGGAGACCCAACAAGATGCAGGGAGGGAGACCCAACAAGATGGAGGGAGGGAGACCCAACAAGATGGAGGGAGGGAGACCCAACAAGATGGAGGGAGACCCAACAAGATGGAGGGAGGGAGACCCAACAAGATGGAGGGAGGGAGACCCAACAAGATGGAGGGAGGGAGACCCAACAAGATGGAGTGAGGGAGACCCAACAAGATGGAGGGAGACCCAACAAGATGGAGTGAGGGAGACCCAACAAGATGGAGGGAGGGAGACCCAACAAGAGGGAGGGAGACCCAACAAGATGGAGGGAGGGAGACCCAACAAGATGGAGGTAAAATAATTATGCTGATCATTTGATTGAGTTTATGTGTAGTTTCAGAAAAGGTGTGTGAAAATATACACATAATAAAATGAAGTGAAAATGTATGTATCCAACAATTGCTGGTAAAAAATGAATGAATTCAACAATTGCTGATAAAAAATGAATGAATCCAACAATTGCTGGTAAAAAAAAATGAATGAATCCAACTATTGCTGGTAAAAAATGAATTAATCCAATAATTGCTAGGCTCCCTACCTCTAGCTGGGCTACTCTCTTGTCTAAAGCCTCCACAGATAAACTCTGGTGACTTGTATCACTCCCAATCTTAGCAACAGTCTGAAATACATTCAAACACAAAATTCACTGGATTTCAAACTCTTAGCAACAGTCTGAAATACATTCAAACACAAACTTCACTGGATTTCAAACTCTTAGCAACAGTCTGAAATACATTCAAACACAAACTTCACTGGATTTCAAACCTCAATAATTACAGAAACAATTATACCAGCAATAAATACATTTTCCCCCATAACATCAATAACAATTAAGCTATGGCCTTTTTAAAATGTGTGGGCGTGGCAACATTACGGTAAGGCATGGGAATGTCAAAACAGTCCTTATAATAAAAAGGATTTCTAGAATGTCAAAACAGTCCTTATAATAAAAAGGATTTCTAGAATGTCAAAACAGTCCTAATAATAAAAAGGATTTCTAGAATGTCAAAACAGTCCTTATAATAAAAAGGATTTCTAGAATGTCAAAACAGTCCTTATAATAAAAAGGATTTCTAGAATGTCAAAACAGTCCTAATAATAAAAAGGATTTCTAGAATGTCAAAACAGTCCTTATAATAAAACTGATTTCTAGAATGTCAAAACAGTGCTAATAATAAAAAGGATTTCTAGAATGTCAAAACAGTCTTTATAATAAAAAGGACTTATAGAATGTCAAAACAGTCCTAATAATAAAGAGGATTTCTAGAATGTCAAAACAGTCCTAATAATAAAAAGGATTTCTAGAATGTCAAAACAGTCCTTATAATAAAAAGGATTTCTAGAATGTCAAAACAGTCCTTATAATAAAAAGGATTTCTAGAATGTCAAAACAGTCCTAATAATAAAACTGATTTCTAGAATGTCAAAACAGTGCTAATAATAAAAAAGGATTTCTAGAATGTCAAAACAGTCCTTATAATAAAAAGGATTTATAGAATGTCAAAACAGTCCTTATAATAAAAAGGATTTCTAGAATGTCAAAACAGTCCTAATAATAAAAAGGATTTCTAGAATGTCAAAACAGTCCTAATAATAAAAAGGATTTCTAGAATGTCAAAACAGTCCTAATAATAAAAAGGATTTCTAGAATGTCAAAACAGTCCTTATAATAAAAAGGATTTCTAGAATGTCAAAACAGTCCTAATAATAAAACTGATTTCTAGAATGTCAAAACAGTCCTAATAATAAAACTGATTTCTAGAATGTCAAAACAGTCCTAATAATAAAACTGATTTCTAGAATGTTAAAACAGTGCTAATAATAAAAAGGATTTCTAGAATGTCAAAACAGTCCTAATAATAAAAAGGATTTCTAGAATGTCAAAACTGTTTTGTAACTTCAAATCCTGCCATTTTTAAACTCAAAACTTTGCTGAGAGGGATAATCTAGAAAAGTGGCACCCCTGAATACATCAGAAATTGTACTAATGATTGCAGATCGTGGGTGAATGAATTTTTTTTTAAGCTTGCTTCAATACCTCAAGACTAGTTTTTTTGCCTTAACTCTAAACCACAAGAAATGGCTAGACTACATTAGGCTATGATAATGCCAAGTCCAAATCTTTGGGGATGAAAAATATTATGAAGATTTCCCCACTATTTATTGGATTTCCCTGTCGGGAAATTTTATTTTAAAATTCCCAGCTCTGGACATCCACACAGAAAAAAAGTATTAAATATTATCACTGGATGGGTGGTGGAGTCCCCATGGGAGAAAAGCATTACCTTCTTAAGTAGTGTTTTGGACCATTGGGGAAAAATAGATGCGGATATTAAAGCAAGGATAGGTAAAGCAAGAGCAGCCTTCAAACAGCTAAAGAACATCTGAAGCGAGCTCTCCATGTCCACCAACTCCAAACACTTGGAGGACCACAAAGACCACCACTGATCAAGTACGGACCTGTATAAAAAGCTGTCTCAGAGAAATACTCAGAATCTGCTTGCCCAACACCATCAAATACGAAGACCTATGAGAAACAACAGCACAACTTTTTGCAGACAAAGATGGAACTCACAAGGAAAATGCAAAAAGGTCGACCAACAAAAAAAAGGTGATGAGGGCAGTTTCCTTGTTAAGATTAAAGTTCAAGGTCAACTTACATCAGTCAAATCTTTGAACTTGATAGGCAGGTCCATGTACTGTTTTGATGATGACACAGATGCTAAGATTTCTTTATTGGCCTTTTCCAGTGCATCGATCTAAACACAAATAGAGCAGATTATTCATTGCACAAAATCAGAATAACACCAAAGTTTACAACAGCATTAGCAACACCAAATTTACAACAGCATCAACAAGAACAACAGCATGAACGAAAACAACATTTACAAGATCAGTGTCACACATGCCTACTACTGGCAATCAAAACAGCCTGACATCCAAATTAGTACTTGATATCAGTATTATGTTGAGTTTTAGTATAGTTACATAGTTTCAATATCAAGCCTGCATCTAAATCTAATTTATACATTAAAAACCATGTACCCTTCCCCCCACTACATTTTAAAATCATAACTTCAGCTGTTAAAACACCATAGTCTATTTGTTTGATTTAAAACTAGATTTATTTTGTGTTATCATAAGCTTAAACTATTATGGATTCATTGCTGTGTACTAGCAATAGGTAGGGCGCATGAACAACAAATGCTAACTAAAGTGCATCATCAATGAAATTTTCATCAACAACAAATGCTAACTTAAAAGCATCATCAATGAAATTTTCAAATTATTTTTAGTTTTTTTGTTGGTGCATTGGAAATAATTTCCTACTACTTATTTTAATTAAAATCTTATCTTCTGTCTAATTTAATTTGCTATTATTCCTTTTCTATAAATATAAATTACGCAGAATATTTCCAAAATTTTATTTTTATTTTTAAAACTCCCACAAACTTGGCAGCTGACATTTTCCAGTCTATCAACATGTTCAATATATACATTTGTATACAGCCTATTCAATATATACATTTATATACAGCCTATTCAATATATACATTTGTATACAGCCTATTCAATATATACATTTGTATACAGCCTATTCAATATATACATTTGTATACAGCCTATTCAATATATATATTTGTATACAGCCTATTCAATATATACATTTGTATAAAGCCTATTCAATATATACATTTGTATACAGCCCATTCAATATATATATTTAGCAGAACAAACTTCGTCAAAATCGGAATGGGGGAATAAGATTTGATTTTTGTAATTGAGCAGAACAATTCCTCTTTTGGCTGGACAGTAGGCATGTCTGCCATGTTTATGAAAAACAAAAAACAATTACAGCTACAATGTTTACAGATCCAAAAAAATTTTGGTTTTATGACAATTGTCTGAATCGTAGAACACTTTAAGTTATACTACAATAATCTAACGATTAGGACATTATAAAGACAAAAATTCTCTAGGGTCAGGGTTTAAAAGTCCTGATGGATCCAAAAGTAAGTGGGTCATTCTTAAACTTTCAAACATTTCTATGAACAAATTTCATGACAGCCTATCCAGTTCACATCAAAATATCAAGTAGACATGGTAGTAATGAGAGCAGCAAAGGTAAACTAGAATGATTGCAAACCTTAGCTTTAAGATCAGTTGTATTCTTGAGTAATTCCTCCAAGCTTCCTGCTCTGATGTCTGCCAGTGTTTTGTCCAACTTCTCCACCCTGGTTTCCAGCTTTGAGATGGTGTCTGGTGTTGCTGTGTTGGACACTTGCACTAAAGTCAAACATTCACACTTAAATACACATTGTTCATAAATCTAACACAAGGAGGAAAGTGGATAAGTTAATGCGAAAAATTATAAAAAAAAACTATTAAAACACTGCACAAAACAAATGTGCCTGAGATTGCCTCTCCAGCTTTCCACTGTGTTGTTATATTATTATTAAACAGTAAGCCAGAATAGCATAGACCCAGAGGTATGGTTGCAAGCTCCACAAGAGTCCAGTCCACAGATATATAACATTAAGGGTTTGGATGACCCTTCCTATGAAATCGGGCTATAAAAATGGGAGATAAGTTTGTTACAAAACAGTTTGTTTATTAAGTTAACACATTTACCCAAAACATTCTTAGAATGTGCAACTTAATAAAATGATAAAATTCTAAAGGTTTTTGAGAAATCAGCAATAGAGTAATTTTAAAGTACTACTCCTGGTCTGCTCAAAAGTTGAACCAAGCCTACAGATAGGATCTAATACTTCAATATAACATTTCATCCTCCTAACTAAAATGGTACTTGAGTTATCATGTTCACATACAGACAGACCAGACGGACAGACCAGAAGAAAGAAAGTTTGCTTTATTTTTTTTTTCAGTGCATTTAAAAGCAGATCATTGAAATGTTTTTTATAACTGTTTTATAATTGGCTTTAAAAAATTAATATAGTAATTGATATTAAAGGTAATGAGAACAATTAGAACTTTTTTTTTTTTTTTATAAAACCCAGATAAGATAAAAATATATGTTCTAAAACCAGATAACTAGTTTGGAATCTAAACTCTATAATACAATGATCAGTCCATGATTGGCTTGCAATTGTGAAACCAAACATAGTTCGATGCATTACAAGTAGCTCTAAATCCAGTTACAATATGAACCTACAACCTCCTTCACATAAACCCAAAACATCCGCCACAGGAACCTATAACCTACGTCACACGAAAATACAACCTCTGTAACATTAACCTATAACCTAGGTCACATGAACCTACAACCTCTATCACATAAACCTACAACCTCTATCACATAAACCTACAAACTCCTTCTGAGGAACTAACAACCTCTTTATGATAAATCTTCAGGTGAATTGAAAATCCTAATATATAAAAGCTTATGTGCGCAATTTTCTATCTCTCTCTGTCTGCAAAATATTTTCACAGGCTATCATATCAGTATCTTCAGTGATATATGGAGAACTTGATACGGACTTTTGTTGAAAATAATATGGTAGATGTTTTAAATACATAAATTAAATTTTATTTAAAGAAGAAAAATAAAAACTGAATGCATATTCTAGAGGTTCTAGATCTAGACTAGATCTACGGAAAAACTAGACGTAGACGCTATGATCTAGATTTTCATTTAGACTATCTACTCTAGAATCTATAACAAACTAGGCATGCTGCCCAGCTTCGCTTAGGCTTTCAAAAACATTGAGAATTTGAATGCTTAATTAATACGCCCGAGGTTCGGTCTACGACCTCAGGAGTTATGAAGAGGTTCCTACGTGGACAATCTTTTTTCGATTTATAGCTCATATAAGGCGCCGGTCAGTCAAGGTCTGTTTTGACCCCCTCATCGCAGACCTTTAGGCCAACCGGCACCGGCCCCCGTGTTCTGTCGCCCCAAGGCAAAATCCTGACAAATTTGAAGCGCCTGCGGCGTCGGGAAGTGCCCTATGTCGGGCACCCGACAACTTTGCTTCATATATTATAGAGATTAGCAAATTTCATAGATAAACAAAGATTTCCAAAGTAGTTCATTTCTTTATAGTCTAAAATAGGAATATTCACATATAAAAAAAAAAAAATTAGGGTTGACTTGGTGTGTCTCGATCCAACACCACCTGTCTGGTAACAAGTACACTATCATCTCAGCTAATTAGGTACCTTTTAAAATATGGAGAATAAAAGAAGTGTTTAAAAAAATAACTAACACGAATATGAATATTTTTTCAAATTATTTTTTTTACCCAAAATTAGCTAGTTTCATTGCAAAACAAACACAGATTTCTATAAAATATTTAAGTCCTGAAAAAGTTTATTATAGAAATTTATTTTTGGAATAGATTCTACAGTAGATAGAGTCTAAATCTAGATCTAGAATAGATCTTAGCGACGTAGCGTCTAAGTGTAGTTTTTGCGTAGATTTAGATCTAGTCTAGATCTAGAATCTCTAGATCTAGAATCCAAATAGATAAAATATTTTTTTTAAGTTTAGGCCGAGAATATCGTATTGTGTAGTCTACATTTCATAGCGTACATAGCTCTAAATCATATTTGAATGAAATAGTTCATTTTTTAAAATTCTAAACTCGGAAGATGACGTCATCAGTTTCGTGCTCTTGTTTTAGTGTTTTAGTGTAAACAATAAGCGACGTCATTGTTAAATGCGTTCTTGTTCAAGTTTATACACTTGTCCGGTTGCATAAATAATACTGTTTCTCTATATTCGAATACGCCTTTATTTTTTATTTTTCTTCTTTAAATAAAATTGTGGTTATACATTAAAACATCTAACATATTATTTTCAACAAAAGTCCGTAAAAAGTTCTCGATATATCGCTGTAGATTCTGATGTGATGTCCGGCGAAAATATTTTGCGGACAGAGAGAGAGAGAGATGTGCGAACGTGGCCTATTATAGATTTAGATAATAAATTTCTATGTTAAACTATTTCGGCCTTAATTATTTTATAGAAATCTTTGTTTGTTTAGCTATTCAATTGACTAATTTGGATGAAATTTAATTTGAAAGAATAGGCCTATTCCCGTAAGTTAAGTTTCTTAACATCGTCTTTTATTCTTCCTTAGCAATCAGGTGCCTAAAAAGCTGAGATGATAGTGTAATTGATACCATGCAGGTGGTACGGGATCGAGACACACAAAGTCAATCTTAATTTTTTTTTTTTATGTTGATGATGAAGTTGCCTATTGGGACTTGGCGGGACACGGGGCAGGTGGAGTAGAGTTCACCTGTTTCTGTCTTTTTAGCGTGGTCAGACCCATGCTCATCCGAAATAGGGGTTTTTAAAAGATAAAAACAACATAACTACCATTGAACAGCCGGGTTTTAAACTAAATCTTTTAAGTCTCTTAATTTTAAGTCTCTTAATCAGCGACTACATTTAATATGGTTTTGAGTTGACTAATACTGTATATAATTTGGTTTTAATTTTTCTAATAGGTATTGGTAATCTATGTTATTTTAAACAAGTATAAACATAGACAGTACATAAAACAAAACCCTTTTTTTTCATTCCAAAGCTCTTGGTCAATAAAATGTTTCTTTTCTAAGTTTCCCATAATGACTTTTTTAAAAGCTGAATTACAATTCATTTCATTATTCACTTTCCAGAGGTATATACATTTTCTTTATGCATCTCTTCAGTTTCTTCCCCTTTCACCTCCGAACGAAATAGAAAAAAGTAATTCATACAAAAATATAGAAAAACCAGTATTCTTCTCCCCCCCCCCCCCCCCCCGCACACACAACCCCCAAACCCTCCTCCAGACAGTTTTAAATGCAGCTCAACACACTTTGTGTAAACCACCTATCAACATCACCAGAACACACCTTGTGTAAACCACCTATCAACATCACCAGAACACACCTTGTGTAAACCACCTATCAACATCACCAGAACACACCTTGTGTAAACCACCTATCAACATCACCAGAACACACCTTGTGTAAACCACCTATCAACATCACCAGAACACACCTTGTGTAAACCACCTATCAACATCACCAGAACACACCTTGTGTAAACCACCTATCAACATCACAGGCTCAAGGAGAGAGGAAAGTCGGCAGACCATAACAAACATGGAAAAGGTCAGCTTTCATTGAAGCAGCTGGAAGAACGGGGCCCTAATTGGAGGTATTGCCTAGAACCAAGTAGGGTAACGAGGTGTGATTGCAACTTTATGCTCCACAAAGGGTCAACAGGAATGATAATGATAAACCTACAACCACCTTCAGATGAACCTACTGCTCCCTTCTGATGAACCCAAAACCTCCTTCACATGAACCTACAACCTCCTTAAGTTGACCTTAAAATCTGCCTTCTGATAGATAGATCTATATATAGAAGCACAAAATAAGAAATATAAGCAGTTGCATGAAAATCTTTATATGATTATAAGTTAAGATGAAAATTAAGCATTATAGTTATGTGTAGTTTTTAACTGAAGTTGTCTAACCTAACTTAATCAATTTAATGTATGTCCGTAATGTAAAAAACCTTGATTAAAAATAGCTTTTAAAAAAACATGTGACACATACTATTACATTTGAATGTCTACAGAACCAATCAGTCAAAGTGGGCAGCCTTCAAGAGTTTTGAAGTCTTTTAGTAATGTATGGAAAAAAATGTATTCAAGAGAAACCTTTATTAAAAAAATAGCCCCAGTATGTAAGAGCATTGTATGTACCTGTTTGTACTTGACTCCTTAGAATGTTCAGCTCATGCCGTATATGCCACTGGACCCAAACCAATCCAACACATGTGCTCAGACAGGCCAGACAGATTAGAAAAAGACTGATTCTAGCTACCAAGCTCTGACAGACGCAACACCGACTATTTTGTATAAATATAACGGTATTGATTATTTCAATTAAATAACATTAATTTGTCTAAATATAATGGTACTGATTATCAAAATTTAGTTGGCTCTTAATTGTATAAATAAAATGGTATTGGTTATTCAAATTAATTTTGGCTGAAATCTTCTAATGCAATTTTTAAATACCTAATGAACAGTCTGTTGCTAAAGACAATATAAAGAAAATATTTAAATTCCTGATTGTTAAAGTATTAATTACAAAACTGGGAGTCATTACTTTTTCCTCTTGGCCCCATTTGTTGTATATTCATCTATGTCTGAAGAATCAGAATGGTAATCAAGTAATTCTTGAGCACTGGAACTATTTTTCCTGCTACGGGGTAACTTGCCTGTGTCTACCAGTGCATCTAACTCTCTTCTTTTTTTCATTCTTTTAGGAAGCTTATATTCTATTTCACTTTTCATATTAACTATAGATGATGTTCTATTTTCTGATGTTTTAAAAGTCATAGTTCTTTACAGTCAATTTTTCTGCTAAAAAAAGAACAAAAAAATATCTATTTAACAATAAAACTGCCTATTTTATACTTCGGCTTGGTTATCTGATTTATTTTTTTACAAACATAGATGTTGTCGATCAGTTTGAAACTATTTTTTTTTTAATTTTAAACTTTAACTGTTGTAATTTCTTAACACAATAATGGTATTCCCACCAAGATGTTTAGAAATCACCCAGACATAACAACGTTCCCACCCAGATGTAACTGTCAGAAAATCGATCACAGAGTTCCTGTACAGAATATCATTGTTTGTCTTAAGAAAGTGAAACATAGGCTTGATGAAAATAAATGGTAGGCCTAAATACTAGTACTAATAACTAAATAGAAGACAGAAGTGTAGCCTTCAACTTAAAAAATATCTTAAAGTTCTCTGGAATAGCAACTTCAATAATATTATTGATTAGGCCTAGGCCTAATATTTAATACGAGCCGGCCCGCGGCATAACATACTCCGCAATTTAGTTGTTGTTTTTTCTACTTTTCAGTAATTCATAATTTGTGAATTCGACAGTACCAACGCTTCCTACTGAAAATATTTCTTTAAAACACTATAAGTAGCTCGTTAAGGACCATAACCCCCCCCCCCTCCTTCCTCCTCCCCCCCCCCCTCTACGTTTAAAATCGTTTCAAACTAAATTATCTGCCCCTAATAGTCGTCACATAACCCGGCTCTGTTTGTAAACATTTAGAGTGAACACAGCTCACTAAGACCATGTGAGGGTGGGGAGGTAGGGAGCGCGTTTACAGCTTGTTTTCTAGCGTCTTCTAGAAGAGAATTATATATAGATTATTATGTGATAGGGCTACTAAAAATGTTAAATAAAATAAGTAATAAGAATAGGCCTACTAGAAGTAGTAGCCGGTAATCTATCGTTTTAGCGTAATCAATTCGGCCGTCGCTAGTAATGTAGGGATAAGGTAACTAATAAATATGGCTTAAATATGAATATATTTTTGCATGTTCTACTAAAATACTAAAGATAATTGAATATTAAACCACATTTAAGGGTTAAATCAATAAAAATGTCATGAAATTAAGGTTCAACAATGATGTTCCAGATACTAAATTTGCTATTAAAAACAGCGGCCATCTTAAGAAAATATTATTTTGAGTCATTTCCCTTTCATTTCTATTTGTATCGAAATGTATTGATGTTTGCTATTAAATACGATTGTCTTGTCTTTTTTTTAAATTCTGCCATTTGAACAATTTAATTAACTGACAATAAACATCAGTTCTAGAATTATTATTATGAGATGCAGTTTTTATACATTAAGAAAGTCCCTATTTTTATAGTGCTACCACTACATATCTAATACTCTATTGTTTATTTAAATATTAGTTTGAGTTAATTGTTATTGTTTGCTATTTTCATTTCATATTTTTATGTTTTTTTCCCTTTAATTAGTGATATAATCACAAATGACATCACGTTTTTTTACCTCTCTTCACCTTAACCCCCCCCCCCCTCCCCCCATTTTTGCCGTCACGAAATAGTCGTAATGTCGAAAATGACCTTTTTGCCCTGCCTGTTGAAAAGTCAAGCCATAATTCTAACGAAAATAATTTTTTCAGCAATTTTTTGTATTAGGCGAAATACATAACCCTACCCCTCTCACTTCCCATGTAAAGCGTCGTCTCTAAACCAGTTACTCCACCCCTTAAGTGCGTGATGTCATTTATGGTAGATGTCAAGTCCTAACCTCCAATATACATTTTGAATAACCTTTGTTGTCAAAATGTTGCTACCAAATACCCAAAATTATTGATATGGGGTTTTCCATAAACGATGACTCAAATGCTATGCTAATGTGACGTCAACGTATGCAGGACCACAATTTATGACCTATAGTGAAGGGGTGATCGGGGTGGGGGGGGGGGGGGGTGGGGTGATGCGTGATGTCAATTGTGGAAGACATATCAATGAAAATGAGGAACATAAAGCGTTTGTTTTCATGCATAACTTTGCTCATCACGAATGATCATAACTATTGCAAGCCTGTTGTCCTTAGCGGCGTTAAACAACCTCAGCACATCATCCCCACCAAAAAGGCCTGCCACTAAATGCCTACCGACGAAAATAGGCCGCACTATATAAGTATATTGACTCCAAATGAAATAACTTCTGACAATAAGGCTCAAACCAAGACAGTTATTGGTTTGCAGGTAAAATTGAACATAACAGTAAGTTTCACGACATGGGGCATAACAAAAGATCAACCCTTAATACGACAGAAGCTAATGTAAAAAGCCAGAGCTCAGTATAGGCTTGAGTTTACTATAGAAATAGTGTTAGCAGTGGACAGCCTCTATGACGGTGCATTAGGAATACGGCCGTCGGCAAAACGCCCGAGTCCGACGATATCTGAACATCAATTTGTCTTTCATAAAGTGCGGAGCGCCTTTAAGAGCTGAGCTGGGGGGTCCCTGTTGACACCACCACTATCGCCGCTTATGTCCACATATCAATCACAAGTTTTGCGAGGAGCTTAATGGGCAGACGAAGTTTGTAGGTGGGACCGGGAGCCTAAATGCATATACGGAAGCCGCTGTGTCACTGGCATTTTAGAGCCAAACGTCTAAGGGCAGCAGGTTGCAGAAATTAAAAGCACGTGAATTTGTATAGTAGAGGGAGCACCGCATACCACTGTGTAATAAATTAAACACCAATATAATTTCCGAACTAAAGTCATTTAGATCTATTCAGTTACTTCTCCCGCACATTACTACTGCAACCGAATTGATTACGCTAAAACGATAGATTACTGTAGTAGCCTATTGATTCTAAAAAATATTTGTAAAAAATAGGCCCTTAGGCTAAATTTCTGGGCTTAAGTAAGTTTGTTTTTAAAATTATTTTAACGTTAAACGATGGCTTTGATTGCACAAATCTAAAAAATTTTTATTCAATAATTCAGAAATATAGCCTAATAAATAATGATGGAAGACCAAAGGATTTTCATCAGCTGGTTAATGTCTATGTGACTATGTGCAAATCAAATGCAGGCCCCTAAAAATTCTAATTGACTATAATTATAATTCATTAGCCCTAGGCCTAATTGACTAATTGTCCATTGAAAATAAAGAAAAAGCAAATTGTGACAATTGTGATTAGGCCTATTGTCCCGTGATTCAGAACTAGAGTAAAGTTCCACGCGCGGTCACACATAGCGGAAAATTCCAAATTCCCGATTTTCATCGGGCGCTATTTTATAACCGTTTCACACAGAAACAAACCGAAAGCACTGTATTACTCCGCTGCCATTCTACTGTAATATGTATGAGTCATTTTGTATTCCTACGCATAGTATTTAAGATATTCATGTTTTAGTGACGTCCCTCCTTGCGATATTTTTTTTCCCTTTTTTTTTTGCCTGCGTACGCAAGAACCTGCTTGCCAACGAGCGTATTGTATACGTTTTGATCCAATTTTAATAATTGAAATAAATATTTTACACACTTAAACGTGTTGTTGATTGTATTATTAATTAATAGATTGCAAAAATAATAATTAAAAACATGTTAATTAAATTAATTAAAGACATTAAAAGTTGACCCAGTGATGACTCAAGGGACGCAACTATAATAATCATAACAAAGGGACGTAACAACCACTAAAAGACATAACGTAACATTTGCTTAGATATGCTTGTATGTAGAGACACAAACTAGATTTAGAAGAAGTAGATGATCGAAATAATTTAAAACAGCAGAAAAAAATAGAAAGTATACAGATTCTAGGCTTAGTTTGAAATATAGATTATCTAGAACTAGGCTAGTCTAGCTCAAGTCGTTGGTTACGCAGCGATGTGAAACCACCGTAATCGACACCCAAGCTGCGGCCACCCCTATTTACCTATCAGGTTGCTTTATTAGCCTTATCTATCGTATGTACAGTGTCCCGCATATATTGTAGAAGCTATTTATAGTTAACCTAGTTATAAAAAGCTTTGATTGGTTGGTTTTATTCATCTCATCCGGGACCTAGTGTTTTTCATAGGGGGAACTAGAACCGCCTAAGACGTCATACCTCGAAACTTTAAAATTTAAAAACTCGACTTCCAGAAGGAGAAAAACAAAAGAATTTGACCTGGATATATTTAGAAATGGACAGGTTTACAGCAGATATCGGTAGTTTCGTATAAAACATCAAAACAAATATTGTACGAAGCGATAAACAGGCGATGATCGCACCGGTGTTTTAACCGCGCGTGGAACTTTACTCTAGATCTACTAGTTACTAGTTCATCTACAGATCTAGATCTAGATCTAGTAGTACTAGTTCAACTAGAGATCTAGATCTAGATTCTAGATCTAGAAATACTGAAATTGAAATAGCAGAAAGAATAGAATAGAATCTACTCTAGAGTCTAGTAGATCTAGAATCTAGATCAGAGATCTAGATCGAGATCTAGATCTAGTTCAACTTCATGGTAATCTATCGTTTTGGGTACGTAAAATCGCCCGCGGCTATTTATGTACGAAAACGTTACCTCGTTGTCAAGGCTTTAATACTAATAGAAGTATATTGTCATACTTTTGTGTCAAATATTATAGATAAATGAATAATAAACCTAAATCAATGGCTAAATATATCGATATAGGCCAGAAATTAACTTTAAACAGCAGTGTCTGAGAGCAAGATTTGCTATATAAACAGCAGCCATTTGTAAAATAGAGTGGCTTCCCCCTGAATCTGGCGCTAAAAGCTTATGAAAATAAAACTTAGACAAGATGGCTGCTGTAGTAAATGAGCATGGTTGCATCTGTTGGAAACATCGCTAGTCTTCATTAATTACGGAAAAGTTTTAATTCAATTGTTTAAAAACAGGTACATAAATGAATCAAGGAAACATTTTTGAATTTTTTAAAACATAAATCCTCCTCAAAATGTGAAATAATTATTAAAATTTAAGGAGTCACCTGTTTTTCACATTACAAATCGCGGGCGATTTTACGTACCCAAAACGATAGATTACCAACTTCATAGACATAGTTCAACTAGAGATCTAGATCTATGAATCTAGAAAAAATTCTAGATTCTATCTATAGGCCTAGCCTAAGTTTAATTTTTGTTATTTAAGTGTCAGAGCAGTAGCTAGATCTAGATCCATGACTATATTAATATTTATTTCATACTTAAACAATACTACTTAAAATAACAATAACAAAATCATATGATGATGAACCGGAAGCTTAATATCGATTGTCAATGACGCACATTATAAAAAAAGTAGAGCCCTATATCATAAGTCTATTAACGAAATAATAAAATTAATATTAATTATGAAATGTTCAATTCGACTGTAAAGGCCGGGGTTGAGTACCATTATAGAGGATTATAATGATTATAATTATCTATCCACCTACAATTTAGATACAGCTAGAAAGTACTAGCGACAACGAGTTTGAATATCAATAAGAAAATATACTAATAACTAGATCTAGATCTAGTCCAGTCCCCACGCGTTGCCGCGGGAATAGCAGAAGTCTGTCGAAATATAAGATGGGTTTCGTCAATGCGTATTAACCTTAGAATCTATATTCCTTGCGG